TTCATTTTTAATAATTATCCCAGCGTTTTATATGCTTGATGTACATAATAAGACCTGCAATGATAATGACAGCACTCATACCACTTCCCACTATAAGACAAATCAAGCCAAGTTCTGAATTAGGTTTGTGCCACTGAGCAGTTTTTGTACTTGCTCGTTTATGATGGTAACAAGTGTGTTTCGAATCGATCTGTGCGAATAAATAACAACAATATATATCTATTGCATGAATGAAAACTTTCATTTGATAATACTTACAGGATACATCTCCAGCTCATTCATTGCTCCAGCGTAGTTTTTTGGTTTCGATCCTGTGATTCGACCAATGATTGGTTTACTGCGCATTTTAATTATGTTATCATTGTATTCAACAGTCCACATAGGTTTATGACACTCATATTCATCACATTTGAATATAATTTGCGAATCGATTACCAAGCATGTATCATCGACGAAATTAACCACTTTGTAGTGTTGTCTCCCAAATAAAATACCACCTCCTATTGTTAGATAAATACCCATAAATACGAAAATCATTACAAGAATGAATCCACATGCTTCATCCATAGTTGTTATGATTCTCTTGTAATCAGAAAGATAAAAATATTCTGTGATTAATACTTATATAATCATAATTACTTACATATTATTTTAGATTTCGTGTTTAAAACGTGAAATAATGTGACACACAGAAATATCTATTTTGTCAAAAGAATCTTATATATATATATATGTGAATAATCTATTAGTAATACACAATGAAATTTTATTTGCTTTTAGATAAAAACGAGTCATTACAAAGGAAGAAAAGTAAAGATACTCATTGTTTGCTTATCGTTTGTTGGAAAATACCATCTTGAACATGAGAATCTGAAGAGATATGCCTGGAAGAGTAGAAGGTGTGGGTGTCGGTGTGAATAGAATACGCTGAAACCCATACCAACACCCACCCTTATATTAGATACATTGTTAACTGAAACGAATAATAGAAACAATTATATTTATTAAAATTGACAAAAATATCTGAAAAAAGTATTTTTTTATCATATTCACACAAGTAACATTTTAATATTCTTTTTTTTTCATTTTCGATCAATAATTCGCCAGTCTCTATTTTTCATGTACATAATAAGATATGCAGCAAGTAGACCACTTCCTACTAGCAGACAAATTAAGCCAGGTTCGGAATTAGGTTTTTGCCACTGGGCAGTTTTTTCACGTGCTCGCTTATCATGGTAACAAGTGTGTTTCGAATCGATCTGTGAGAACAAATAATGACAATGTATATCTATAGTATAAATGAAAACTTTCATTTGATATTACTTACAGGATGCTGCTTTAGTTCATTCATTGCTTTAGCATATTTTGATGAATTTGATCCTGTGATCCGAACAATGACTTGATTACTGTTCATTATAATTATACTATCATTGTATCTAACAGTCCATACAGGTGCATAACACATAGATTTACCACATGGTTGTAAAACTAATTTCGCATTGGTTACCAAACATATATTCTCGATGAAATTATTTTCTTTGTGACGTTCTATACCAAATATAATACCACCTATTATTGTTAGAATGATACCAATAACCGCGAAAATGGATACAATATTTCTTACCCATCCATTCATAGTTCTTATGGTCGTACTATAATCAGAAAGATAAAAATATTCCGTGATTAATACTTATATAATCATAATTACTTACATATTCTTCTCAGATTTCGTATTTAAAACGTGAAATAACATAACGCTATTTTAATTTGAAACAAAAATTTCATGTGATACACGTCTCCAAGAAATATCTGTTTTGTTAACAGAATTTTATATATATAATCTATGAGTAATATACACATGAAAATTTGTTGTACTTTTTTGATAAAAGAGGGTCATTGGAAAGAAAGAAAAGTAAAGATACTCACTGTTTGCTTATTGTTCGTTACAAAACACCAGTCGAAAGATGAGAATCGGAGCTTTGATTTTTATTTATACTATTTCGTTGATGAAAATATTTGTAAAAAAAAAAAAGAAATTTCTTTTGTTTTCTTTTCAATTATTTCAAATGAACGAGAAGTTAAATCTATAGTAATTAGAAGATAGTGTCAAATGAGTTTTTAATTTTGAATTGAACGATAGTGTATTCTTCTAATACTAATGCACATTCAGTATGTGATCAAAAATAATGATGAGTACAATGATTCCTATCTATCTTAGAACCAACATTTATTTCTTTTAATTCAGTGAATAAGAATAATTGAATAAAATATTATTAGTAAATGGTATAGCTATTTATATGTAAGTATGTAAGGATGTGGGTGTGGATATTATATTAATCATACATCCACATACTCAAATTTTCACAATAATGAATTAAAAAGATCAATAGTTTGAAATTATCATAATTAAAAAGATGATCTTTTCAAATAATTCTAAGCTATTAAGTTAAAATTATCACAAGTTAAAGATGCAGAGCTGGGCGAGTACGGACTTTCTGGAGTAGAAGTACGAGTACCGGCAAAATCGTACTCAAGTACGAGTACAACAAAACCGTACTCGAGTACCAACACAAGTACTATTGTATCGAGGGTGACTAAGAGTTTTTGCCATAGTTGGTAGGGGAGAAAATCTATATTTAAACAGTCGAAACAAAAAGACGTCAAGAATTCATGTCATCCATGCAGCACATAATCACATAGTAATTTTTTATGAGACATAATTAAGAACTCCAAGATCATATTCTCGAGTACGAGTACAAGTATGAGTACCAGCAAAACCGTACTCGAGTACTTTGCCCAGCTCTGTAAAGATGTTAATGAAGTGAAGAAATTTGAATACTATTTAAATATATTAATAGTTATCGTTTTTTTTTTCTTAAATTTAATATTGTTTATTAACAGAATGATAAGCATATATTTGAGATAGGTCTTTTTTTATTATCGACAAAACAAATGTGATGATGACAATGTTGAAAAATAAGAGAGCGACGATGTAGGTAAATAAAAGATTGATATTCATATCATTACTTTCACTCTTGCATAATCAAATACGACACTCACACTGATTTTTATTTTTCAGTTAAATTAATATTTTAAATCCATTATTCATTATAGTATAGAGACCATAGTATATGTAAATATGTAATTAATAATCTTAGATTATTAATCTATTGATTTTAATATGAAACGGGTTACATGAATTTCGGCTGGGTCCGAAACTCCAGGGATTTTTCGGTCTAGGGGCAAAAAATCAATGAAATTTCGAATGAATTATTCATTAAATTAATTT